CCTCGCTGGTGGGTCTGCGTTGCCAGGGCCGTGCCAGGAGGTGGCATCCCTGTGCCACCGCCTGGGGCCATGCCTGAGGCTCAGCGTTTTCCCCAGCTTCTCCTGCACCGTCTTTGCCTTCGGGCAGACCGGCTCAGGGAAGACCTACACCCTGATGGGACCCCTGGCCCAGGTACAACAGCGTCCCCCCCACCTCACCTGATCCTGATGGTGGGATGGGCTCTTCTCACCGGGTCGTGGGCGCTGGGGTGGAGGGATGAGGTGGGTGCTAAAGCGGTGTGACTGCTCACCGTCCTGGTGTCTCCGCAGAGCAAGGACCAGCCAACAGCCCCGGCTCCGCTGCTGGGGCTGATGCAGAGGTCCTTCACCTGCCTCCTGGAGCAAAGCCAGAGCCACAACTCTGACCTGGCTCTCAGTGCCTCCTACCTGGAGATCTACAATGAGCAGGTAAGTGCCCACCTGGTTGCCCAGCCAGGCCCTGCTGGCACCCTGTGCCTCGCTCCCCCTCTGCCTCGCCTCTGCCATTCCCCCCAGGTCCGGGACCTGCTGAGCCCAGGGCCACCGTGTGCCCTGCCCCTGCGGTGGAGCAAAACCCACGGCTTCTATGTGGAGAACCAGCTCAGCGCGGACTTCGAGAGCCTGGAGGCCATCACTGACCTGCTCCTGCAAGGTGCTGAGCAGCGGGCGCAGGGCTGGAGCTATGCAGGGGCATGTTCAGGGGGTGCTGGACCCAGTGTGGGGGTTCTCAGCCCACGACAGAGCTGTCCTGGGACTGGCGAGGCTCTGATGGCAGCCAAGAGGGACAGCCCCCCATCCTGCTGCAGAGCCCAGGCAGGCTTGTGCCTGGCAGAGGGTGGGCAGTGGGTGCTGTGCCAGGGCGCTGGATGTCGTGCCCCCCTGCAGCTCTCAATCCCTCGTGGCAGGATCCCAGAGACGACGGACCTCAGCGCATGCCCTCAACAAGCACTCGAGCCGCAGCCACGCTCTTCTGACCATCCACATCCGCAGCCGGGCTGTGAGCGCACGTCCTGCTTTGGGCATGTTGTGGAGGGCTTGAGGCGGGGCTGGGGCTCTTTGTGGGGGTGCAAACAGCCCTAGAGTGGGGGGGTCACATCCTCCTCCCCAAGGATGTGTTGTTGGGGCTGGGCTGAGCAGCGGGGAGCCAGATTCCAGACCCAGAGGTTGGGACACTGCTGTGTACCACGGGGAAGGGGCGAGGGAGGCCAGAACATCACCTCCAATGTGGGTCTCCCAGCCCAGCGCCTGCCCCAGCAAGCAGGGCACACTGTGCTTCGTGGACCTGGCCGGCAGCGAGCGGGTGAAGGAGACTGGCTCCAGCGGGGAGCTCTCCGTGGAGGCCAACAATATCAACCGCAGCCTCCTGGCACTGGGTAAGAGTTGGGGGACTCCCCTCTATGGGAGCACAAGCTGCTGGTCTCCATCAGAACCCTGATGCACCCTCTGTGGCTTGTCCTCTGGCAGGACACTGC